TTAATTATATTCAATCTTTTTCTCAATTTTGGAGTAATGATATAACAACTTTTGCTTTAGAAATGGCCACCGGAACCGATTCTCAAGGCCGCAAAGTGATCGTGGTCGATAATGGAACCGGAGTAGGTTTTTCAATATAGAATTTTATGGTTTTGGAGCCTATCTCATCGATTTATACAGTTTAAACTTCAGAATAAAGGGCTTTAGTGATTAACAAATCTTTATGATGTAAAGTTTTAAAAGATTTGTTGTCGGTGCTATAATGAAATTGTTTAGTTTGTCAAATGCGGGTACGCGGGCTCAAATTTCCCGGCTCACATTTTCCCGTCGTTGGTCGGCCGTCCCATTGTTCGCTCATCGCAACGAATTGGAGACACACAAATTAAGGTAGGTATTTTATTAATATTGCAAATAGAGCAAAGGTTTTGAAGCTGATTAAGATGGCAAATTCTAAATCTATTTGGTAAATCTATACATCAAAACTTTATTTTAAATTTTTTTATTTTAGGACTTGATGGTCGGTGAAGAGGCGTCGAAGCTTCGTCATATGTTGGACATCTCGTACCCGATGGAGAATGGAATCGTGCGGAATTGGGATGACATGGCCCACGTTTGGGACTACACATTTGGCCCTGAAAAACTCGATATTGACCCAAAGGTTTGTTTTAAGCACTAGATTATTTACTAAATACTAGTTTTTCTAAAAAATATAACTCTAGATTGACAGCTAAATAAATCAGAAAACTTTTGTTTCAGGATTGCAAATTATTGCTCACCGAGCCGCCACTGAATCCAAATTCGAATCGGGAGCGAATGTTTCAAGTTCGTTTTTATTCTAATCTTTAATTACTTTTTGATTGTAGGTGATGTTTGAGCAATATGGCTTCCACTCAATCTATGTGGCTGTACAGGTGATTCCTTTACCAAATTTCCCATTTTTATCTTTTGCAGGCCGTGTTGACGCTTTATGCTCAAGGACTTTTAACGGGTGTTGTTGTCGATTCTGGTGATGGAGTTACACACATTTGTCCCGTTTATGAAGGGTTGGTTCTTACTACTTAATCTAAAGGAAAACAATTAACGTTCAATGTTTAAATGTTCAGTGTTGATTAGAAGCTGAAGATGCAACTATCTAGATGAATTTCATTTAGTTTTGCTCTCAATCATCTCACAAGACGACTTGATGTGGCCGGACGGGACATCACTCGATATTTAATTAAGGTAGTGTTAATTTAGTATTTCAAGTGCAACAACTTAGCCATAGCATATCAAGCATGTTTATTTTAGCTACTTCTTCTTCGTGGCTACAACTTCAATCATTCCGCTGATTTTGACACCGTTCGAGAGATGAAGGTTTATATTATTACTTAGGAAAAGAAACGAGTTTGTTTAGGAAAAGCTCTGCTACATGGCCTATGATGTGGAACAAGAGCAAAAGTTGGCTCTTGAGACAACAGTGCTCACTCAACAATACACGGTTTGTGCTAGCTTAAGCTATTAAGCAAAGTCAAATAAGTAAGCGTTGTAATTCACTGTAATACTGCGAAAAGTTTAAATTTTATCGTTCACTAGTAATTTTCCTTGAAACATTTGCAAGTTTTGACCTTTTAAGTTCTTTAACTTGTATTCTTTAGCTTCCCGATGGTCGAATCATTCGAGTTGGAGCCGAGAGATTTGAAGCACCAGAAGTTCTATTCCAGCCGCATCTCATCAACGTTGAGAAGAATGGTCTCTCGGAGCTTCTATTCAATTGTATTCAAGCTGCTGACATTGGTGACTTGGCGCTTAGTTTATAGTAACTTATGCAATTTTCTAGATACACGACTCGACTTCTACAAGCACATTGTCTTGTCAGGAGGAACGACGATGTATCCGGGGTAAATTTGAATGTTTTACCAATAAATGTTTTAGAGAATTAATTTGAATGCTTTTATTTTACTTTAGACTCCCATCACGATTGGAACGTGAATTGAAGCAACTGTATCTTGATCGGGTACTCCACGGAAATGTTGAACAATTTAAGGTTTTAGAAGAAGTGCAATCTTATTCTAGTTCTGAACTTCTAGAAATTCAAAATCCGGATAGAAGCCCCACCTCGACGCAAGCATATGGTTTTCATGGGTGGAGCTGTATTGGCGAACTTGATGAGAGATCGTGATCAGGTTAGATATTCAGATAAGAAACTGGCATAAAGCTATCTATTGCCGATAAGCCGCTTAAGCAGCAGCATAATCGATACTAAAAGCCGTTGAACGAATAGAGGGCATCGTGGTTTTCCAATCGTCATTCTACCATTTTTCTTTAGGATTTCTGGGTATCAAAGCGTGAATACGACGAAGAAGGCCTAGCGAGATGCATGAAGAAACTCGGAATCAAGGTGTAAACCAATCAATCACACTTCAACAATGAAATATCCTTTCTACAAAATGATCTTCTTTTTGCTTCAGCTTTATATTTATTTGAGTGCCCAATGAGAATCCGCTAATCATTTCTCTTGCACATACGTGTGTGAATCAGTTCTGACTTCATCTAATTGGTTGTGCTTTTGTCACCATCTGCCTTTGACATGCTTGTAAATTCTCTAATTTATGTTTGTAAAATAAATTATTCTTAATTAACTGTTTGCATGGTTGGGAAAAACTGTTAACTGGTTGGGAAAAAGACAATAATATCTCCTTGATATAGATAAACAAGGAGTCAAGAAACAAAACATGCGCATAAACGTCAAAATTTACACTTTAGTACCTACTTAGTTAGCGTTTGTTTTGTGAGCACAAAGTACGTCCAGAGAACTTAAGCGAAGTGTGTTTTTGAGCTTTCAATTTGGAGCTGCATGAAGGAGATTGTCGATTGGTAAGGATAGAATCACTTTTCTAGGAAAAAGCCGATCGAAAATTTCAAAATCTCGCAATTTGAAGGCAATCAATGCCTTAAAAGTTAAAAGTCTTGTACTAAAAAGATTGTAGACTTTTTTTTACGGCACCTTAGCCGGCTCTCTGAAAGAAATTTATCCAAATTTATCCAAATTTTGAGCTCAACCCATGTGATAGCCTATAAAATTTATCCTCCAAAAGAACACACAAACAAAATGAATCAAACAATTGCACCAAGGATAAGCAAATTTCTGAAAAACCCGTCTTTATGGGGGAAAAGATCGCAAGACTATCGGAGAAAAGAAAAGAAAAGAAAATTTCAACAACAAAAAAAGTATTATACAAGTGTTGAAATATTTTCAAAAACAAGCTAAACATTTAGTCATTGAACGGTGGCAAAACGCAACAATTTTCGTCGAGATGATGTCCGCCGAGCGTCGGAGTTTTCGTCTGAAAATTTGGCTTTCATAATATATTTCGCTTTAACATTGACCGGCTTTGGTGGTTTTTTTTTGATTGTATTAAAGTTCAGCTTTTCAAATTTCATAAGTAAGCTTAAAAAAAAGAAAACTCACCCTCAAGAATGCTAATTTTCAAGAATTTCATAGCATTCATAAGCAGAATTTCATAGCATTCATAAGCAGAATTTCATAGCTTTTTAGGTCTATCTATGGACAATATGATTTCGCTGAAAAGATTTCTATTCAGCGTGTCCAAGCTGTACGTTTTGTAGACCGTAAATACTCTAATAGAACACCACCCCATCGTACAGTCGCGTAGTCTAACTTCTTTTTAGAAAACCATGTTTTTTCTCATCCCCTACTTTTCTCAATTATATTTTTGATACCAAAAATACTGGATTTCAAGCGCTATCATTTATAGAGTGCATTCCTCGCGAGTAAGTAATTACTCGAGTAAATTTGCATGAGTAATTGTCGTTTTCTAAAAAGTGCGCCTGCGCGAAAAAAATATCAAAACAATTTTTTGCCCAGTTTTTTCAAAAAAAATCTTTTTTGGAATCATTGGAAGGGAATTTCCCACCAATTTTAAAGATACTCAGTTAAACGGAAAACTTTTTGGAAGAACTTTTTTTTTTTTGGAAAACTTCCGAAAAACACTTCTTGATGATTATTATAGTGTTTTTAAAGCAGTAATTAGCTATTTATTAGTTAGCTATTTATTTATTAGTTTTACTATTTATTCTACTATGTATTTGTTAGTTAGTTAGTTATCTTATAGATAAATAGCTAACTAATAAATAGCTATTTATCTATAAGTTTGCCAAAAATTGCCGAAACTTTGTGCTGTGCTTTTATTAGAATTACGGTATTTATTGACAAATGCTAAATGTGCAATGTCATCAGCTTTACCCTGGTTCTAATTTGGCAATCAATATGATAGAATTGCGCGTTTCACAAACCTTGACAAATCTCCTCTTCTATGCGGACGTCACTGTGCGAGCTCGTTTGTCGACACAGCGGTTGTCGCAAATTTTGCAACTGTGCGAATTTCTCCACATTCGATTTGCGGCGTCGGTTTTCAACCTGGAATTTTTGAAAGTTGACTTTTAGTTTTAGCTTAGTTCAGACTAAAGTTTAGTTATAATTGAAATTGGTTTACAAAACGATAAGCCGGAGATAAAAACTCTTGATTTTGTTGGCATAATAACAAATATCCTTTGTTCTTTAGTTTCAAAAGTTTCAAATTACCACTCTCTATGATTTCTATGATCTAATTTACTGATTTCTATGATTTCTCATTGAAAACTGTACCTCATCCGGCAAAACCGACAGCTCAAGGGCTTTCTGAGCAGCCAACGCGGTCGTCAGCGCGACTCCGTTGATCTGAATGGGTTTTGTTTTTTGATTTTACAGTATTTACGGTAGGTTCTTTATCCACTTTGTAATTTCTTTATCCTTTGATCTTCGATCTTTGATCTTTATCCATTTCCCTCACCTGTTTCCTCTTTTCCAATCCCAACCAATGTTTGATAATGGCTCGATATTTTGAAGAGAAAATCATGTAGACAAAAATTGATGAGGAAGAATTTAGAGAAATCAAGATATTCGCGATCTCGACTGACATCTCGAAGACGCCTTGCTAAATGCATTGCTTGGTTATTGGAATCGTTCGAAACTTTGATATGACTCTTTTACTCTTTTATTAGGTTGGTGAATTGAAAACTGCGGGACTTTGAACTAAAATTTATTCAACCTAAAACCATCAATTCATTCCAAATAATTTCCATTATTATTGACGACTTCTGCCCATTTTACGGGCAATATGCGGATTCCTCTTTCGTAGTAGGATTTTGGTTTGTGTGTGAGACAAGTGTGAGACTCTAAAATGGAGGACTGGAGATGTCCCAGTTTGAGCATTTGAGCACTTTCTTCAAAAGAAACCCATTTTGGTGTCAATAGAAAAGTTGTAGAGAATCAAAAATTAGGCATATAGCCAAATTCCCAAAAAGATACACTTAGTAGTTTCGCTTAAAATGCAAGTTTTGTGAAAATTCGTAAATTTGACATTTCTTGAAAACCGGTTTTTGAATCGTTCGGAAAATTTGGATATAAGCTTGATTTTTGATTCTCTACAACTTTTCCATTGACACCAAAATGGGTTTCTTTTGAAGAAAGTGCTCAAACTGTCACATTTGACAATAGCCGGCAGTTTTCAATTCACCAGCCCAATAGTTGAATTTAAGTTGAAAATTTAGTGAATTTTGTAAGAACAGGGATGAGTGACGAACAGACTTTGAATAGGCGTTAACAGCTTTTTAACCGACAATTTTTTGTCAAACAAAATAGGTATCTCACCCGAATACTGATGAAACCCTCTCTTTGCAAGATGTCGATTAAATTGTTGCAGAAAGCCAAACAATTGCAGAACAAGAAAATCGCGACAATCGCTAGCAACATCAACGTGACGGATCGATCGCGGACACTGTTGCTGTTCGTCTTCAGGAAAGATGGGGACCGGAAATTTCTGAAATAAGAAATTCGGAAAGCTTGTTTTAAGTTTTAAGTTAAAGTTTTAAGTTAAAGTTTCTTATGCGAAAGGTGACGAGATTTTATTGAAATATTGGAGTTCTTTTTTTGAATAGATGAAATAAAGCAATGAAAAACTTGATGGATCAAAGTAGTTATAGGTAAACGACTCAAAATACTTCTGAAAGTCGTATAGTACTTTGATTTTTGATTTTGCTCAATTTTGAAGTCTCCTTTTTGATTGTAAACTCACTGAATGCCTGTCATTCGAGTCAATGTCTGAAAGAGATCCGCGTATTTCGAGTTTTTCAACATCCGAAACTGATTCATCACCATACTTCGACTAAAAAACGAAAAAAAATTAGCAAATAAAGTTTGATAGCAAATTGAAAAGCTTCTGGCATTCAGAAAAGATCATCGCTTCTGGCACAATCAAATCTTCATTATTTTCATTCTTTTTTCGCGTACTACAATCGATTTCATCATAAGAAATGAAGAAATGAATGCACCAGAAAGAGTGCGTTTCAAATTTGCGCAAAATACACCTTTCCTTACCTCGTGGTCGATTTCTTTGACGAGTGCATATTTCGCAAGTGTTTACTTTGCTTCAATGCCACCAAAATTCGGCAATTTACAAAGATTAGCGTCATGAATGGAATGATGAACATCACCATTGTGTAGCCGATCACCTGAATTACGCTCGTAAATACTCTAATCGAACAGTAACGCCTGATAATAATGGATAATAATGGATAATAATGGGCTTTTTGGATAGATTTTGCGTAGTTGTCCCGCAAATTTGAAGTCTTCAATAAAATTGAACGGTTTTACTCATTGGGTACACTTCAAATGTCGGTTGCTTCCTAGTAAAAAGTCCTATTTAGGCATCTTTTTTTCGATGTGAGACGACACGATTTCCTTCAAATGCTCATTCATCACACTGTCACTCTTGGCCTTCTTTATATTAGTTGGACAATGAATATGGTTCGTGTGGGAACATTGATTCTCTTCAGTCATGATGCTGCTGATATCTTCTTGTGAGTTGATGAGGATTCAATGAGATTCTAGTCGTGTAGTCTAACTTTGAACGTCCAATTCTCGGCGTTGGTTTAAGCTATAGTGTGCGCTTGGGTGTCAAACGATAGCCCTTGAAATCTAGTATTTTTTGATACTAAAAGTGTAGTTGGGAAAAATCTAGGGATTGAGAAAAAAATGATTTTCTAAAAGAAGTCAGATTGGATAAGGAGGTGGCGCTCTATTAAAGTATTTACGGTATTAGACTTGTCATTTTTGGTTTCAGAATTTGTCAAATTTGCAAAAATATAAAACTTGTAAAGCGTATTGCTCATTTATGTTAGGTTTTTGAAGAAAAATCGTTTTTATGGTGAAAAAAGTGAGCTGAGAAAGCTAGAAAAGTTAGAAAAGCTAGATACTTTTTCTTTGGTTCCTATATAGTTCCTATATAGTTCCTATATAGTTCCTATTTGGTTACTTTATAGTTTCTATTTAGTTCCTATATAGTTCCTATTTGTTTACTATATAGTTCCTATTTAAAGCTGTTGAAAGCTGTTGAAGGCTGTTGAAAGCTGTTGAAAGCTGTTGAAAGCTCTTGAAGGCTGTTGAAGGCTGTTGAAGGCTGTTGAAAGCTGTTGAAGGCTGTTGACGGCTCTTGAAAGCTGTTGAAGGCTGTTGAAAGCTCTTGAAAGCTCTTGAAGGCTGTTGAAGGCTGTTGAAGGCTGTTGAAAGCTGTTGAAGGCTGTTTCTCTATAGTTCCTATAGAGTTCTTTTTCAAATATCTCTAAAATTTTTGCGGGAAAGCAATCATTTTTTACGAGTAATTTCATGGAATTGACTTGTAAACGATAGAAAAAAGTGTTCTCGAATTGGTGGATTCGTTTTTAAGAAATTCTAATTGAAATCCGGGCAAAGATTTTCTTGTAAACCTAATTGCAATGCCGTATTCTCTCTAATAGTAGTGCATCCCGGCGAGCCGAGTCGGTGACCATTTTACCGTTTCCAAGCTTTTGCAGAAGCTCAACACTCAAATCCTCCACAAGATCTCATCGTCAGCTACTTTTTCCGACCCCACATCGATAGGTTCTGATAAGCGCTTTTCGAGATTTCGAACAATTTAGGCAACGCTTAGGGTGCACTACTATTAGAGAAAATACGGTAGTTATGTTCCAAGCAGGCAGAAAGACAGGCTGCAGTCAGCTAGCCAGATCTAGCGTCAGCTCTGACTGACGGACACTCAGGGCTTTCTATCGGCCAGGCTCAGCTTGAACAATCGTGACTGGCTTCCTGATTAGGCAACGCTCAGGGTGGACTACTATTAGAGAGAATACGGTATTTTATGTCGTTTACCTTGGCGATAATGTTGTAGGCACGGTGCTGCTGAAGGGGAGTAAGGCTGAGGAAGCTGAAATGGAAAATTTCAGTGAGAAATGGTTGGATCACAAAATTTAGCTATCTTTTGTTTGTTTGCTTGTTTGTTCAAAACGGAAGACCCACTTTATTGTTTGACTGAAACTTTTCGCGTAACACGGCACGATCATCAACTCGAACCACGACGGAACGTTGATCAATACCTAGGAATTTAACGATTGACATGGTTAGATACAGCAATTTTTCAAACCTGATAGTTTCAAGTATCTCAAAACTTTAACTAACTAAAAATAAATAAAAAACAGTTATCTTTTCCTTATCTGGCTGTTTGTTTTGTGAAAGCTCGAGTTGGAACAAGGGCAGATCAAAAACTAATGATCAAAACACTTGTGCGCCGCCGGGACTTGAACCCGCGACCTTTCGCTAACCGGGCAGTTTGCTAACCATTACACCACAACGACCTCGATCTCCTTTACTCCAGAGGAAGTTAATTTCCCGAATCGATGGACGAGACGGTTCCAATTCGATTTATAGCCCTGGGATGCGCTCGAAACTAGGTGTGAACCTTAGCCAATATTGACCTTAACCAACATTCCAGAGCCCGTCCTTCCGTGGTCGCCAGTTGGAACTAGGGGAGATTAAAAACTTGTGCGCCGCCGGGACTCGAATCCGTGACCCTCGGTTTACCGGGCAAATGTACTAACCATTACACCACAACGCACTTGACCTCCCTTACTCCAGAAGGGACTTCCCTTACTCCCTTAACTCTCGCATTGTTTTAGTTGTTGAGTTAAAATGCTGCACCTTGTTTTAGCGATAGAAAAAGCCAAAGAATTTCTATAAGAGCTAAAAGATAAGCTTTTAGTCCTAAAAGCTATTAGTCGGTGCAGAAATCTTTTCGTTTCTTTTCATACTTTCGTTTAAAACATTCACGTTCGGTTTTTTTTGATTTTTGCGTAACTTATTTCCCTTCCAGCTTCTCTAAAAACGTTCACAGACAAACGATTTACTTAAGTTTAAGCTCAAAATGAAGAGAAATATTCACCGAACATTGATCTGAAAACAGATTAAAGAAATATTGAGTTTGAAAAGAGTTATGAAGCTTTGAATGCAAATTAACCGATGACCGTCAAGGCCACCGATCACCCGGGAAATTCCTCATACTAAAACATTGTGAACTTTCTTTAAACTCAATATTTCTTCAATCTGTTTTCAGATAAATGTTCGGTCAATGTTTTTCTTCATTTTGACCTCTAACTTATGTAAATCGGTTGGCTGTGAACGTTTTTAGAAGAGCTGGAAGGGAAATGACTTTTAAGATAGTTTAGTAAATACTTTATTAGCTTAGGTTTAGGCTTAGATCGAAGCCTAAGCCTAATAAATAAAGCCTTAGCCTAGTAAATAAAGTATTTATTAGGCTTAGGTTTAGGTCTAACAAATAAAGTATTTATTAGGCTTGAGCCTGAGCCTCAGCCTGAGTCTGAGCCTGAGCCTGAGCCTTTACCGAGAAGAGAATCGATCCAACGATTGCCGTTTTGACGGGACGACCGGAGACCCAACGCTTGGCGCGAAATGGATGACAAACGCCTGGAAATATAGAGATTAAGTATTTTTGTAGAATTTAGCTTTTTTTTTTGGTTATCTTTCTCACCAAGATATCGATGAACGGAGACGAGCACCGTCAAATAGACTCCACACGTTTGTGTTGTCAAAGCCAATGGGTAGGCGTGCCTGAAAATGAGGGTTTAAAATATAAATTGAGATTTGACAAAAAAGATTTTTCTGGCTTTACAATCGATTTCTAATTTTCAAAAGGAAATTAAACGGTTTGAAAAGTGAAAAATCTAAGTAAGCAAAGTGTTTCAAGAAGGTCCAAGCTTGTGATATTAAAGTTTAAATCGTCAGCCAGATCAGCTTTTTGAAACTGATCGATGAATGATTAGAACATAAAACTTTACAAGTAAAAACAAGCTTTCTTAGAGCCTTTAAAAACCGTCAACAGTCTTCAACAGCCTTTAACAGCCTTCAAGAGCTTTCAACAGCCGTCAACAGCCTTCAACAGCTTTCAACAGCCTTCAACAGCTTTCAACAGCCTTCAACAGCCTTCAAGAGCTTTCAAGAGCTTTCAACAGCCTTCAACAGCTTTCAAGAGCCGTCAACAGCCTTCAACAGCTTTCAACAGCCTTCAACAGCCTTCAACAGCTTTCAACAGCTTTCAACAGCCTTCAACAGCTTTCAACAGCCGTCAACAGCCTTCAACAGCCTTCAACAGCCTTCAACAGCCTTCAACAGCCTTCAACAGCCTTCAAGAGCCGTCAACAGCCTTCAACAGCTTTCAACAGCCTTCAACAGCCTTCAACAGCTTTCAACAGCTTTCAACAGCCTTCAACAGCTTTCAACAGCTTTCAACAGCCTTCAACAGCTTTCAACAGCCGTCAACAGCCTTCAACAGCCTTCAACAGCCGTCAACCGCCTTCAAGATGCTAGAATTTACAAGGAAAAGCAAGCTTTCTTGTTTCCATCATGTATTTTATCTAGGTTATAAAAGAAACTTTAGATTTACTTCAGATTTTACACCATTTTTCACACTCACCACAATGCCACCGGGTACGCATTGTGTAAATCGACTCGTGTTGACATCATCGCAATGACGGGAAAGATTAAGAAAAAGAAATTGCAAATGAGAAGCAGTAGATCGGAAATCGATAAAGCTAACAAAAAATGGTTGACGAGTTGAACACGCATCTCCACGTCGAGGAAGACAACTGAAAATTCGATCGTTATCGAAATCGAATCAAAATATCGATAAGCTCAAGCCTAGATCTTTTTCTACTGTAAATGAAAGACTTTTAGAAGGATTTTAAAACAAAAACAGCGCTTGCAGAGACAATAAAAGATAAGGTATTGAAGATTTTTTATGGTTTTATTTGGGTGTTCAGAAATTCTTTTCGTTCATCTTTGTACTTCCGTTTAAAACCAACAAATGCATCAATTGAACTACGGTTTATTTCATTAGAAAGCTCAATTATTTCTCTACAAAATAGCATTCTAAAGGGGTTTAAAATGACTTATATCTGGATTTTTTTGGGAGCGGGAAGTCGGGTAGTCAAAAAGGGTGACGACTCGATGATGCGGTTTAGAGATCTAAGGCTTAGAGATCTAAGGCTAAGAGAGATCTAAGGCTTAGAGAGCTAAGGCTTAGAGAGCTAAGGCTTAGAGATCTAAGGCTTAGAGATCTAAGGCTTAGAGATCTAAGGCTAAGAGAGCTAAGGCTTAGAGAGCTAAGGCTTAGAGATCTAAGGCTTAGAGATCTAAGGCTAAGAGAGATCTAAGGCTTAGAGAGCTAAGGCTTAGAGAGCTAAGGCTTAGAGATCTAAGGCTTAGAGATCTAAGGCTAAGAGAGATCTAAGGCTTAGAGAGCTAAGGCTTAGAGAGCTAAGGCTTAGAGATCTAAGGCTTAGAGATCTAAGGCTAAGAGAGATCTAAGGCTTAGAGAGCTAAGGCTTAGAGAGAGCTAAGGCTAAGAGATCTAAGGCTTAGAGAGATCTAAGGCTTAGAGAGCTAAGGAAATCTATTTTCGTGTCATTAGCTAAAAGATAGTGCATAAAAAGTTAGTTATATAGCCAAATTTTTAGAGAAATTCATTTGCCATTGCCCTTTTTGCCAATTATTTCTCTACAAAATAACATTCAAAAGGGGTTTAAAATGCCTTCTTTAAAAGTCTTAAAATGCCTTCTTTAAAGCCTTAAAATGCTATTCCTTCTTAGCCAACATTTTTGTCGGTGTCGGTCATCTTTTCATTATTCCTATAACTCACCAATATTGATGAGATTTGTGAACATTCCAAAAACGGAGATCGGCATATTTCCCATTAAACGCATGTCGATTTGCTCGTCGGTGAACACATTCTGATCACAGGGCAGCATTCCCTCGTATGTCCCATTATCACTGTGATTCATCTGTAAAAGTTGATCATGATCTTGAAAGGAAGGAAGGAAGGAAGGAAGGAAGGAAGGAAGGAAGGAAGGAAGGAAGGATGGAAGGAAGGATGGAAGGAAGGAAGGATGGAAGGAAGGAAGGATGGAAGGAAGGATGGAAGGAAGGAAGGAAGGAAGGAAGGATGGAAGGAAGGATGGAAGGAAGGAAGGATGGAAGGAAGGATGGAAGGAAGGAAGGAAGGAAGGAAGGAAGGAAGGAAGGAAGGAAGGAAGAAAATCTACTCTGTTAGAGTAGTTACAATTATAAGATTTAGAAAAAGAAACGAGATGCTTGATATAGAAAATTATGGAATGAAATTTGATTAAGATAGTTTAATAATGAGTTTAATAATGTTTAATAACGAAATTGAGTGTTTTACTAATGAGAAACATCACAAAAAAGCACACAAATGAAAAGAAAATGAAAGAAAATGAAAGAAAATGAAAAGAAAATGAAAGAAAATGAAAGAAAATGAAAGAAATAAAGAAAACCGTGCCTAAGCCGTAAAAGCTGTAATAGTGGTTCTGGGGGCATTATTTTTTCAATAGTACTTTTTGCTATTCACATGACCAAAACTGGAAAATACGAGATAATCTCAGTTTCTATAGTTTTCAAGAAGCTTCCAGAAACAGTTTTCAATTAATTTATTAAAGAAAAGAAGTAAAAATTAACAAAAATTAACAAAAATTAACAAAATTAACAAAAATTAACAAAAATTAACAAAAATCCTCGTAAAACCGTCGAATCAGTGCCTTAAAAGGACCATTCCAAGCCACATCTACACATTGAACAAACTTTTTACTGTCTCTAGGAACTGCAAACTTCGGGGGTCATTATTAGAGGAGGAGAAGCTATTGTTAGAGGCGGGGGTTCATTATTAGAGGGGAAGCTATTGTTAAAGCCCCCCCCCCCCCTTTATCAATAGCTACTATTAGAGTGGGGGGTCATTATTTTTTCTTTAACCCTCTAGAAAGGTACTATTACAGCTTTTGCAGTATACAATTGTTATTGTAGTAAATCGGGGGTTTACACTGCTCAACTATGCCATAAAATCCGACCCAGATGACGCAAAAAGTGAAACCAGTAAATTTGTGCGATATGAAAGAGATTAAAAAACTTCGAATCACCAAAAAACAAGTAAATATCATTAGAAAATGAATATAAATATATAAATATATAATCTAGAATATCTTGTAGTCATTGAAAGAATAAAAAAAATGCTTAAACGATGCTTTTGATTGAGAATAAAAAGCAAAACAAGCACTAGCTGTGTGCCTCTTTTCTTCTTATTTGAATTTTTTGACTTTTTATGAAATTTTGCATTGCATTGCATGAATTTCGCAAAATTTCTTTGGCTTTAGCTTACAAGAGAGTAAAAAACAGTAAGCAATTACGCTAATTCCTCGAATTTTCAAAATTCAAAGCAAACCCTACAACGATTGAACGATTGAATAGCCAACTTTGGCCAAAAAGAAATAGCCAAAAAGACATTCAATTCCTAACTAATCCAAAAGTTATAACTAAAAAACATAACTCAAAAAGTCATTTTTCTTCCCGGAATTCAGAAATTGACTATCAGAAATGCCTATCAGAAATGCCTATTCAGCAAAGTTCTCAGAAATCTTGTCAAATTTCTACAGAACAAAATGCTCACAAAAACTGCCAAAGTTGGCCAAATCAATGGCCAACTCTTTTTTTTTCAACAAATCTCTTCTCAATAATTTTTCGGAGAATTCCTATCAAATATTTGGATATTTGGATATTCAGTTGTATTTCATGAATCAAAGAGATTAGCTAAACAAAAAGAAAAGAATCTTTTTCTTTTTTGCGATTATTTGAAAACGATTATTTTTTTATTTTTTTTTGTGGGAGGACTTGGAATCCCTTCGATTTTTGCGAGGGATTTGTCTGGAAAATCATTTTTTCGAGTGAATTTAATGAGATAAATTGGGATTAGTTTACATTTTCTTCTTTGTTAATGAGATTAAAATAGAAACTTACATTTTTACAAATCTATTCGGCAAATAAAAATGACGTTTTTGAGGCCAAAGGGGAAGCTCTTCACTTTCGGATTGCTAATTCAGTGAATATCTTAAAAGAGAAAAAACGGGGAATTAATTCGGGAATGAATGGGAAATTGGATTGGAAGCGGATTGATTCTGGAAAAATGTAGAGAAAATTGGGATGTTTTTGTTTTGGAAAAAATTTGAGCAAGAACAAGAGCAAGAGGGAGAGCAAGAACAAGAGGAAGAGCAAGAGGAAGAGCAAGAACAAGAGGAAGAGCAAGAGGAAGAGCAAGAGCAAGAGGAAGAACAAGAGGAAGAACAAGAGGAAGAGGAAGAGCAAGAGCAAGAGCAAGAGGAAGAGCAAGAGCAAGAACAAGAGGAAGAGGAAGAGCAAGAGGAAGAGCAAGAGCAAGAACAAGAGGAAGAGGAAGAGGAAGAGCAAGAGCAAGAGCAAGAGCAAGAGCAAGAGCAAGAGCAAGAGCAAGAACAAGAGGAAGAGGAAGAGCAAGAGGAAGAGCAAGAGCAAGAGGAAGAGCAAGAGGAAAAGCAAGAGGAAGAGCAAGAGCAAGAGGAAGAGCAAGAGGAAAAGCAAGAGGAGGAGCAAGAGCAAGAGGGAGAGCAAGAACAAGAGGAAGAGCAAGAGCAAAAGCAAGAGCAAGAGCAAGAGCAAGAGGAAGAGCTTAGTAACTATTAATGTGTAAAAAGACAGAGTTTAAGCCAAGTTAATAGATTAAATAGAATGAGTTTAATGAATCAAAGGTTTAAGAAATGATCTAAAATAACTTTGCAACTTGTTTTTGCAGAGAGAAAGAGATGGGAACTGGTTGAAAATGAAGTGTTGGGAAAAGAGTTCGAAGCGAAGGACCTAATCGAATTTCGCCCTGATGAGTCCCAAAAAATTGAGGGTTCAACCAGATTTTCTGGGAAAAACAAGAGGAAATGCGGGAAATTATGTTTAGAGTTCAAAGAGTAGCCATTTTACATGCTAAGATGCTAGTTTAATAGTTGAATCGACATGAACACTATAAACGATAAAAATGATGACTTGTCACACTGCAAACGCCTCTAACTTCTTTTAAATCTGTCGGATTGAGCTCATCTATAGCTTAAAAAATAGAGAATCTCAAGGGCTTTCGAATGGAGTAAAGTACACAGCAAAATATCAATGTTAAAGAGAGTTACAGTGATTTATAGCCTGACTCGATGCTTTTATTAACTTAAATAAGGAAAAATGCGCAAAGATTATGAATTTTTGGTTGAATTTGATCAAAATTGAAACCAGGTTTTTGAGATAGAATGCTTTCACTGAAATTTTTGAATTAAAATAGAAAAGTGTGCTTAAAATTGAAACAAAAGACTTCTTTAAGGTCTTTAAAGCCTTTAAAATGCCTTTAAAGCCTTTAAAATGCCTTTAAGGCCTTTAAAATGCTATTTTTCACACTTTTGCAGAAATTTTTAGCAAAAATCGCACAAAGCAGGAAATTCAGGGAATAGATTTTTGAGAAAACGAGTTAAAAGTTCTGGAAAGTCAGTCTGGAAAGCTAAAAAATTGAAGCTTTTCTTTTAAGCAAATTGAGTTGATTTGAACGTCATTTCTTAGTTTTTTTGCAAAAAAGGAACTTTTGATTGGAGAGAAATTGGAGAACCGAGCTGCTCAAAATTCAAATCAAAAATGAAATTGAGATTTGGGCTTTTTTCGAAAATTTTTTCGTAAATCTTTATAAACTACTGCTGAACTTTGTGCTCAATAATGTAAAAATCGCTTTTGGATGCACTGGATTCTTCAATTTTCTCGGAGACTTCTTGAGAAATGTAAAAATTGAGTGCAGTAGAAGTTTTTCAAGTTTTTCTAGAATATGGATTTGCTAGAATAGTTCTAGAATTCCTAGGACTTCTAGAAGTTCTAGTTCTAGAATTCCTAGGACTTCTAGAATTCCTAGGACTTCTAGAATTCCTAGGACTTCTAGAATTCCTAGAACAACTTCTAGTTCTGGAATCCCTAGAACTTCTAGTTCTAGAATCCCTAGGACTTCTAGTTCTAGAATCCCTAGGACTTCTAGCACTTCTAAAACTTGGGGGCGTCCACCAAACCGATGCCACCTTCTGCTGCGGGTTCGAATCCCCTCCGTGTCAAACACTTTTTCAAAAGCTTTAAAAATCATTTTTAACAGTCTCTGATTGTTTGGGGGAACTTATTATGCGGTATTAATGCCAAAGAAAGACAAGACTGCCCTATAGATAAACTTCAATGATTCAATGAATTTATTCCAGCAGATCACCTTATTCGACTTGTGTTTGCACCGGATTTTGGCTCCGAAATTTCACTCCTGTAAGTCCGCTTATAAGTTGCAGCAGTTCCCTAGTTAGCTTTGGCTGTTTCAAGGAATTCCTAGAACTTCTAGAACTTCTAGAACTTCTAGAACTTCTAAAACTTCTAGTTCTAGAATCCCTAGACCTTCTAGAAACTTCTAAAATGTATTCTTTTTGCAAATTATGAAATTAAAGAAGTAAATTTAAAGAAGTAAAGTTAAAGTTTCAAAAAGTGATAAGAATTGTAAGAAAATGCAAAAGAAAATAAAAATGATTCACTAATTGAGCGGATCCCTCGACTTAAGAAGAGAAAAAAACTGAAGGTGTAGAATTTTGCTTTGAAAAAAATCTTGTTTCTCTTTTTCCCTTTCTTTTCATTTCTAATTTGAAGTACCACCGGGATTGGCACGTAGTTTTTGTGTTTCGAATTAAGATTAGAAAAAGAATCTTTTTTTTTGATTATGAATTTCCTTGATGAACCGGAAACCAAAAAAGAAAATAGATGACGAAAAGAATGTTTAACATTTTACAATACCGTATTTTCTCTAATAGTAGTGCACCCCAAAGCTTCGCCTAAATTCCTCGAAATCTCGAGAACCGCTTATCAGAACCTATCGATGTGGGGTCGGAAAATGTAGCTGACGATGAGATCTTGCGGGGGATTTGAGTGTTGAGCTTCTGCAAAAGCTTGGAAACCGTAAAATAGGCATCAACTCGGCTTGCTGGGGTGCACTACTATTAGAGAAAATACGGTAAATAGATCCATTAATCGTCCGGCTCTAATCTACTTAAGGTCAAATTTGGAACAAACACTTTTGCATTTTTATGGGAAAAACGGATTGAATGTGTCATTGAACATTTTAAAATACATTTTTGATAAATTTTCTTTGAAGGGACTATTAATCACCTTGCCCTACTCTAGTTAAACTCAATTTTGAAACAAACAATTTTTAATTTTAGTGTACTGTAGCACTCAGGATACTCAGGCACGTACTTGGTCAAGTCCACGAGACGAAATGCCAGGTTCTCAGGATTCACTGCAGGCTTAGCCCAAGAGTCGTGGCTCACAAGCTTCTTTTTGCTCGGCTCTGCTCTGGTATGGCCAGCCTACAGGTTCAAGGACCAGGAAAATTCTTGAAATCCTACAGTACACTAAAAATTCGCTACTAAAAATTTTACAGCTCAAGTTGAGTGTTTCTAAAAGCAAAAATTCTCGAAAATTTTGAAACGAGGGATTTTTTTGAAATGAAAAATTAGTATTAGTTAGTAGATATGTATTTGTTGCATAATTTGATAGCCAGGGAATTCAAAAGGCTCAAAGAATTGCCTTGAAAGTGACTTGCTAGTTATTACTTGCTAGTTATGAAAAAGAGCAATAATTGAGAAGTTATTACTCCTTTTCAAATTTTCCACGCTAGACAAACATTGAAACACACACCACATAGGTTACAAAAATAATCGTCTTTAAATCAAAAATCCGAACACTACAAATTTTAAGTTAGGCCCAAAAATGAACGGAAAAAATAAAATGATCCGAAAAGCATCATCCAAAATTTCAGAATTAAAGGCGGCGACTTTGATGTCAGTGAAATTTCATATTTCATCGAACCATAAAGTGTTATATGTCATTCAATAGCTCTTTTCACGCTCTTTCAGAATGCTGAATTGAGTTTTTGTGGAATTCTATTTTTGCATGAAATTTTTTCCATATTCGGCGCCGAAAAGTCAAAATAATTTTTTTCACGAAAATCTAGCTGATAAACTAGGCTCAAAAAGCAAATTTCTGAATTCTACGCAAAAAGTTGGTCGGGAATTGTTTTTTAATTTTGTGTTTTGGTCAATGGAAACGCGAGCTCTGAAACCTAGGTTTTTTAGAAGTGCGCGGTTATATGGTCCACGCACACCTTTGATGTTGGTAAAATTTTTCTTTTGTGTCAAATCATCAAGTGTTATATATCATTCGAAAGCATTTTTATGTGTTTAAACATAGCAGAAAGAATTTCCCAAAAACTTTGGCTTTTTATTAGTTTTCTCCGATTTTATAATCTGGAATGCAGTTTTTTTCTGGTTCTGCGGTACTTGCAGATCTGATATAGTATAGAAAAAATTGATTCTATTTATAAGCATGAATTAGACAAAAAAAAGAATCACAATTGAACATTAAGCAAAAGGAGGAAATTAAGATGTCATCTTTCCATCATCATTGAGGAGAACAACATAACCGAGCCACTTGAGCGGGTTCATTAATCGCTCTTCTTGTGGTCCTGTCTTGTTTCGAGCAAATTCAGATTCTAGCCTGCTGTGAACTGCCTCAATGCCCTCTCCGGATGCATTTCCGATGAATTTATGCTCATGGACAAATGGGCCAAGATGTAAGAGTAGAGCATGGACCAGTACACTTTGTCCAAAACCACCAACTTTTTCTAGTTCATCGCAAAGAATCGCTATTTGGCAGCAATTTCTGGCTTTTGAATGTTTGCCTTTTGCAAGCCAAATCTTTTATTTCTTTATCCGAAAGAACACTTTTAGCGGTTGAAACCATTTGAGACCATTTGTTGAACTCGCGTAATGCAGAAATGACGACTTGATAGGAATGGGAGGAAGAAACGACTGCTAAATCAGAAATCACTGAGGATCGACAGAGATTCTTTATATCGTTTCCGTTGAAACGAGCATAGATAATCCCATCACTCTTCCGATTCACATCCAACTTCCATTTTCGACAAACATCTTGGAAAGTCTGAGAGGACCCTTCGAGTTTCACCAATTGTTCAAAAGTTGGTTTCCAATCTTGATTTTTGCATGAAGTATTGGGGAATTACCAAACTTCGAGAAACATTTAATAGATTTTCTTTTTTTGCCTGCAGACCTTTTACTTTTGAAATCGTCGCTTCCACCGAAGGGTCACTCCGATCAGCATATTGTTGAAAATCAATTGAATCCTTATCAGCGGATGGTTTTTTGTCAAACCTCTTGTTGCACCATAAACATCCAAACGTCATCGCACAGGAAAGACCAAAATTGGTGTTCAAGAAAGATAGATCTCCACCGAGAAACCGATCTCCACCGGCTCCTGATGTTCGTCCCATCGGCAAATTATAACTTTTGCTTTGAAAGTGTTGGAAATACGAATGTAATAAGAAAAATAATAATAAGCTAATAATCAAAAAATAAATAATCGGGAAGCCAAATTGTCTGTAACTAAATGATTTTCTCCTGCGATTGACATTTATAACTTTATCATCTGTCATGCCTTTGGCATAGTAATTTATCGAGTAATTGTCAAGGCAGTCTGTATTTGTCTGTGCACCTGGGTTGCCTACATAAACTCCAGAGGTAAACTGCATTCCAGATTATAAAATCGGAGAAAACTAATAAAAA